CATCCAGAACTTTGGTTTGAATCTACATAGTTTTCTGTGATCAGTGACCTAAGTGTCCATGTGTAGCGATAACTTGATTAGAAGATTAGGGAATTAAGTGTGTTCTAAAGATATCTAACTTTCAATTCTGGCGATCTGACTCATTGGTTCCCAGCCTGAATGTGAATGACTCATCAAAGTCATTGACAGTAAGCAGTTTGTCTTCAAAAAGGGGTCAACCTCTTTGTACCTGGACAGCTAAGCTTTGTTTCGTGTTCAACTTAGTGATTGGAATACCTTCTATATAGAGGATGGGGTTCACAGCTGGATGAGGCCATGGGCTGCACTTCGCAGTCAGTGATGCAGACTACTACAAGAACAGCAACAACAATTTTGTATCTGGGTGTGAAAAAGAAGCATGTTCTTTTCCACTACTAGGTTTGTTGGTCCAAAAGTCCAGAAATAGCCCGAGGTGATGTATTTGAAGGATGTGGGAGACCTGGGCGACTGTCGTGTCAGTGCTTGGCCTGGGGCGCCGCCATCCCACCCCAGGGATATAGTCTGTGTGGTCAGGCAGCGAATGAGCAGCCGTGCATTTCACCAGGTTGCTCTGCTGGTTCCAGGCAGGGGTTGGCTGAACCAATCTGGAAGTTTACAATAAATAGGTAATGACAATCACAGTGTTCCATTCTCAGTGCTGCCCTTGCAGGTGACTTTGTTCCTTTTCTCCGGGCGCGATTGACTGTGCAGCCTTCAGGGGACTTCCCTCGAAAGGACATCTCTCCTAAGGACCAGAAGGACATACTTGCTCGGGCAAAGGAAGTCTACGATGCAGGGCAGCTGTCTGCAGCTGATCTTATGTTGAATGGTTTTTGCGCAGGTTGCAACAATTGCTGAGATCATAGTTTTCCTTCGGCATCTAGTAAGTGTGACTGTGTCCTTATGGTCCTTGGACCACTTGGCTGTGTGACTTTGCTTTGATTGAGGAAGCTGGGCGTGACTTCTTGGTTGGGTGGGCAACAAGTACCCTGCGACGTGCGCCCAGGCCGTCTTACTACAACTTCTTGGAGAACAGGCCTGGCCCATGTTGCTAATGTTATATTGTACTCAATTTGCCTGAGCCCATGTGCAGACTCACTCAAACAGCGTTCTATTCCACTGAGGTTTGATGAGCAAACTCCTTTGCCAGTTGGGCAAGGGCACTCTGTGGAGGACCGAGAACCCAGGCCAATCCATGTGTGGCATGATGGGGGCGAGGCATTGCCCATGGATGATGATCCGGATGTTCCTTGGCATTTGATTGCATGGTGTGTGTCTCAACTTTTGGCTGAAACTTGCTGTCACAAAGTGCATCGTTTCATGCTGATTGCTTGATGTGAGCTCTTGTTTAATGACTTGGTTGGGACTTGGATGAAAGCTTGTGGCAAGGCAGAAGATGCAGAAGAGCAACCACTGCTGGGTCTAGCTAGCTGAGTGAGTTCAGTTGAGAAAAAGAGTTTGCCATGTTCCCAAAAGTTACATTGTTCATTGTGTGTACAGAGGTTCAGTGAGTAGTCATCGTATACTTGCTGTTTGTGCATTGTGGGGTTGGTGTTGGCTCAACTCAGGGGGCTGAAGTGTTTCAATCAGATTGCTACAAGAACAGCAACAGTAAATTTGTTGCTGGGTGTGAAGATGCCGAAGCCTGGTCCATCTAACGACAATCGCAAGGCCAGACGAGCCTCTTTGCAAAAGATCAAAGAAGAACGAGAGAAGTTAGAAGAAGAGAAGAGGCAGTTTTCACTGGCCAGTCAAAACGTCTCACAGAACAGTGAGGAGTTGGAAGCTGCAAAAGCTGCAGCGCAGTGGGCCAAGGATCAAGAGATGTGGGCCAAGGAGCAGGCAAACGCTTCCTACTGGAAGATGAGAGAGTCTGAGCAAGTGGCAGAAGATGCAAATCAAGCTCTGCAGAGGGCTGAGTGGCGGTTCAATGAGCAATTGAACTGGGCAAGAGACGCAGAGAAAAAGGTAAAAGAACGAGCAAAGGATTCCTACTGGAAGATGATAGAGATGAAGCAAAGTGCAGAAGATCTGCAGAAATTTTCACAGAGGGTTCAGTGGCAGTATAAGGAAACTGCCAAGGAGCTTGCGATCAAGGTGGGCCAGGTAGACACTGAGTCAAAGGCCAAGGAGAAGCTAAAGGAAGAACTTCGCAAGCAAACGCAGGCAGGGTGAGCAACTCCAGTTTGTTTCAATTTCTGATTTGTATGCACTGTGTTTGTCAGGAATCTGAAATCTGGATGGATGCATTCTTTGCAAGCGAGGGTGGTGCATCCTCTTCCAGGTCCTGGGGCCAAGTTGCTTTTTGATGTAGTCAAACCCAACCTCCTGTAGCCAAAGCAAGTACAGTAACTGCCAGGAAGCAACCTCCAGTGGCATCTCAGAAGTCTGAGAAACAGAAAAAGAAGAAGAGGCATGTTGTGTTGGGTGGTTGCATTACTGTTGCTGTTCTTGTTGTTGTTGTTGTTGTTCTGGGATTTAGCTAGGACTTTGCTGTCAGGAAGCGCAGTGCTGAAGATGATGGAGATGCGCGACCTTCATCCAGCAAGGGAAGGCATGGTGATTTTTGTTTTTTCTGTTAACTTGTGTTGTTAGATGTTTGTTTATTTGTGTTGTTGGCGCTGTGTCAGGTGAATCCTGCAACTTGCCTCGGCATCCTGTGTAAAAAAGGGCTGCTGATTGTGTCAGCATGAAAGCAGTTGCAGTTCTCACACATTGCAATAGTTCCCAAATGTTGTAGAAGCAGCTGGGTTGCTTGGAGTCTTGATTTCTGAGGTGCCAAGGCTGGCCCTGATGTGTAAGTGTGTTTGTTGTTTGATTGGTAGCAGCTGTAGTTATTGTAACTTATGCCTGCAGTTCTTCCATGAAAAATGATGCATGCCAGGCTGGAAAGACATCTGATTGACAAGCTGCTGGAGACATTTTCCATTGCTACGATGTATAGTAGTGATGGAGGGCAAATGTCAGCTAGGGGCCATCAAGTCAACGCTGGAGTTCCAAGCGTTAGCAAAAGTTTCTGGAATTCCAGAAGCTGGTGAACAAAAGAAAAGTAAGCAAAGTGACTCACTCCTGGAATTACTCGACCCAGATGGGCAAACTTTGGCTTGTCAAGGGGTCACGCCAGGATGGATCATTGTGGGCAACACTCTGCAATTGGTCCAAAAAAAGATAATCAACGTGAATTGTGCTTCAGCTTATTGGGGCTGTGGGGGCCATCAACCCATGCTTCATGCCAGGTTATGCCAGGCTGGAACTATAGGAAATCCTCAGGGGCCACCATCAACCCATATCTTTGTGCCAGGCTAGGGTGGATAATAACCAAATCCTAGTGTTCAGTGTGCCAAAGCTGGAAACTAGACTCTAGTGACTCTAGTGTGCACTTTGCAGCGCATTCCTCTTTTTCAAGAGGCTCTATGTTTATTAAGTTAGGCTACTCTAAATCTTAATGATGATGACCTGCATTTAGCACCTTTCGGCGCATTCCTCTTTTGCAAGAGGTCCTATTTTACTAAGAAAAAACTACATCCCCCCATCCCCTTTCTGACCATCCAATCACCATCCAATCCCTCACTCCACAAACAGGAATGAAAACTCCAAATAGAAATGAAAACATCAACTAACAGTGAGGTGGCTTCCTGGCATGAAACAGGTCAAGAAAATTAAAGAAACCGAAGATGGAAGCAAATAGAAAACACAGACAGGACTCGGACAAAAGTTGGAAACGCACCTATGAAAACATGACCTACAAGTCCAGAGTCAGAGAAAGTATTACCAAACTTTCGCCCTCGTGAAGTATATCATAATATGTATCTCCATTCATGAGTTGCAGCTTGTGCAATATAGCCGGTTGTGCCTGCTATCCCTGTTATGAGTTTAGTCGGTTGGTTTGACTGGTTTCAACTCGCGCGGACAGGTGACACTCCCCAATCAGTAGTTCCAGTATGTTCCAGTGCTCTTGTCCGGTGTCGGCCTCTTATCCTCTGACTCCATTTCAAACTCCCTTTGCTCCTCGTTGTCCGGTTCAGGCCTGGCACTCCTCCTGCGCTTCCTGGTCTCCCTTTCCTTGTTCAATTTCGGCTGCCAAAAAGGTCCCTTGTTCTTTGAGTCCCTTGTTTTCCTTCTTGACTGCTGTTAGGTGTGAACTCCAGTCTTCGAGTTCTTCCTGTCCTCTCCTTGTCAGCCCCCCCGCCCTTGGCAGACTCAGCACTGAGATGCACTAAGCACCCGAAAAGAGAGAGGTCCCTCCTTGGGAGCTCCGGTCGCGTGAACTTGTCGAAGAAACTTGTCCTCAAATTTCTTGCATACCTTCTCGACTGGCCGAGAGATTGCAGCTGCGGAGGGCCGCCAAACCATCGGCTGAAAAGCCACTGTCCCCCTCGTATCCACCGCCGCTGCCACTGGCACCCCGGAAGGAATACAAGCACGTCCTTCAAGGGCGTGAGTGGCGAGAGCGCGACAGCGAGAAAGGAAAGGGAAAGCAAAACGCGGAGCAATGGCGAAGATGAGGAGACCGGAGCACGGGAAGCAAGAAGGAGAAGGCCCTGTACACGAGAAGGAGCATCCAGTGCAACAACATGCAACAACTAATGTGAAGATTCCGGAAGGCATGCTCAGTACCTGGCTGTTGGGTCAGCTGTTGAGATTTCGTGGTCTGGGTGAAAAACTTTGGCCTGGTGTCATCCTGCAAAAGGTTAACTTCAGAAGGAAACCCATCTCTACAGGCTTGATTACCTCGTCACCCGCTTCAGTTGGAGGGGAGCAGGTGTGGTTGAGAGTGTTTCCCTTAGGCGTGACACAGCCTTTAGGTTCTTATGCCACCGGTGGGCGTTGGCCACTGCACAACAAAAACTCTTCACGTCACTGGCATGGTCGCTGCCTCACTTCGTTGGGGGGGGTGCTTCTTGGCGGCTTGTCCAGCACAGCAGCCTAGACCGAGTCATAGCAAACTGCTAGAATGCTAGAACGTATTTGAACAAAGCTGGACCACTCTAGCTGACATGCATTTAGCTTTTTGTTGACCAAGTCCTTGAACCATACCTCCTAATTTCCAGAATTCAACCATTTTTACCAATTCACAACCATTGAGCCGCTGCCAAGCAGCAGGCCGGCTGGTCGTAAACAACGTCTTGGGCCAGTCTTGGGGCACCTGGAAGGAAATCTCAAAAAGACGGTCAAAAAGAGCATGAAAACCTCTTGCAGCTCTGCAAAAAGGTGAGAAACGATTCCTTGGGTCCTTTTCGCGAGTTGGGGTCCAGTGTGGCCCCTATGCTGCGTGTGCGGGCCAGCATAGGGGATTGCAGCGTGGAAAGGGAAGACAAAAGGAATCAATAAGAATCCTTCCAAAAAAACGAAACCTAAGAAAACGATCGAGGAGAGTGTCAAAATAGCAATCAAAAAAGGTGAGAAACAGCTTACTTGGGCCCTTTCCGCGGGTTGGGGTGTGCCTGTCCAGTTAGGAGGGGATCGTTACCTTCGGCGCGCCTATGCTGCGCGCGCGTGGACGAGCATAAGGAGAGGTAACAAAGAAGAAGAAGAAGAAGAACATGTATTATATAATGTTCTTTTTGTTAACCTTTTTCCTGACCACATTGTGCTGCAGAGTTGAACAGAGATGCTTGGGACAACTCTTTATCCACATGCATTATGTTAGAAAGAAGGTAGACGCAAATTCAGTCCATGACAGACGACCACATTGATACAAGGGTGTGAGGAGGGTGTGCTTCAGGTTTGGCCTGGCCTGGATCGCAACTTCTCAGCTGGCTGGGAGATCGGAGGCATCGCAAGGCCAAGCCGGCTAGCTTTGCGGAAGTTTCATCCCTTATTGAGACCTGAGAGAGAACATGAATGAGAGGGTTATGCTTGAGCACGTGCGGGTTGGTGACGGCCTGCAGGCTCGCATACGAGCCCAACTTGTTCAGCGAGACACGGCGCTGAGTAGAGATGTGTCACGCTGGAAGCTTGCAGCCCAAGGCACCCCCTTTGCTGAGGCCATTCCCCAACACTCAATGAAACGGCTCAGGATGTTGAGTGGCAGTGGTGCGCACGACTGGTGCAAGTGCATTTGACCATGGCAGGATGATCCAGATGGACAGCTTAGGCAACAGGCTCTTTCTCCGCACTTGTGAGATCAGCTCAGCTCCAAAGCATGATGTGTGCCTGGCCAAGGTCGAAGACCTATGGCAAGATTTGGAGCCAAAGTTGATGTATTTGCTGCTCGGAAGTCATCGAGAGGGGTCTAAAAACCATCCAGCCTTTTGTTTTTGTTGGGCGCATCAGCTTCTCCATTTGGGGTTATTTTTTGGGGATCCCACAGTTGCCAAGGTAGCCTGACGTGCAGATCATCGCAAATTTGAACAACACAATTGTTTGTTTCAACTCCAGCCAATATGGTGAAAGCTGAAAAACAACGAGATTGCTATGAAGAAGCCAATTCCTTTGCATCGCTTCAAACTTCAATAATTAAAGGAGGACATAGACACAGAGAGAGAGAGAGGAAGGGAGGGAGGGAGAGAAGGAGAGTTCGTGCAAACTGAATGTTTTGGAGCAGTTCACACTCCCCGCGTGCCATCACAGGCCTCGTGATGACCGCTTACAGGCTCTTTCCGGGCTTTGTGTTGCGGCGTTCCTTGTCGGCATGTCCTTACGTTGGCAAGTTTATAGGTCCTTACTGCAATAGTTTGCCGATACCATTTTGCATTAAGCACAAGTACTTTGAGAAGCCTGAGGCTCGCGCACAAAGGGCAGAAAAGAAAGTCTGGAGAGCCGTACATTGTCCACCCTGTGGCAGTGGCTGAGCTTTTAGCACAGCTGAAGGCTTGGCATTGCCGCAGATTTACTCGGATTGTGAGCCTTTCGGCTTGGTTTTGCTTAGCTTCGGGGATCAGCACGTTCAGGTGCCGGTGGAAGTTATTGTTAGCGGCTTGCTTCCAAGCTGCAACAAAGAGACAAAGAGCTTACCTCTAGTTGAAGGAAACAAGACCGACTTGGAATGCACCGGTGCCATTGGCTCGACTGCACTAGGCTTCATGATACCGTGGAGGACAACGACGAAATTCGCTTTGAAGACTTGGAGAGCATTTTCGGCGTGGATGTGAGACGCACTTTGGCCGCCATAGCTATGCGGCTCCGCTGCTTTACTCAGCAGGTTGCAGGGTGTCCAGTGCCACGATTCAGGTATTGTTGAGGGTGAGACGAAAGCTTCCAAGCGCACAGCATTGGGTGGGCGAGGCAATTGGAGCCGCCGCTACACTTCTTTGTTGCTGGACTACGGAAGCAGAAAGAGCAATTGCACACTTGCAGCGTTTCAGTATTGCTTGCTAAGGTTCAACAAGCTCCTAGGAAACAAGTCGCCGTCTTCTCTGAAGCCTGACATGTGCAAGGCGCGTGAGCAGGCGGAGAATTTGCGGGCCGAAAGCTAAGAAAATGGATGCAAAGCAGGTGAAGAGCGGAGGATCTTCAGCTTATCATGCTAAGGACATGTTCCTGGCTATGGCTGATGATTACAGAGTGATCTTGGTGAAACTGGCAGAAGGAGGCTCAGGACTAAAAGAAAAAATTGAATGTTTTCAAGGGACAAAATGAGGTTGAGGCTTGTTGCATGTGTAAGACTGAGGATCGACTGCACAACATGCGCACACTGGAGCACATGTGACTTGGTTGTGCAAGGGAATTCCTATGAAGCCCTGACAGTATCGTCTTCAATTATCACTTATCATTGTCATCACTTATCACTTGATTTTTCAAGGTGACAATGGTGACAATCATAAGAGAACTGGTCACACTTGACGACGTCGAGAGTGGTTGCCAGCAAACACGCCTCAAAAGCTGGCTCGGGGTATGATATCGAACCTGAGGCCGGAGAAGAAGCAGCAGACCATTGCGGCAGAAACACTTGAAGCTTGATGATAAATCAGACTGTGGTGTTTGCGAATTGAATCAGGCCATCGGGTCTTCAGGCTTCATTCAAGCATCCAGCCATCAGGCAATCTTGACTTGCCAAGGTCGTGTTTGCTCAGCTGGCTCACCGCCTTGGCGTTTGGCTATTCAAGACAGAGCTGGAGGATTTGTCGTAAGCCCGGACCAACAATGATCAGCCAACGATCAGCCCGACCTTTCTTTGTCAAGCAGCTGGGGCCTTTGGGGAGCCAGGACAGTGAGCCAAGGTCATTTCGATATTTGTATCCACTGGCGGCCTGGCTTAGCTTGATCCCTGAAGGGGGTGTCTGGGGTGGAAATTTGGAACGTGAATTCGAGGAGTTTCGGAAGCTCAACCGGCTTCTGAGCATGAGACACGCACAGTACGCTCCTCATTTTGGCTTTGCGTCAGCTGTGCCAACAGAGAGCAGTGTTGGAGGCATGTCTTCTCATCCCAAGGCACACATCCACGCTTCAAGCAGCGACCCGGGACTTTTCCATCCTCAGGCAGGGTCAGTTGGATTTGAACAGAGATGAGAAAGGCTCGACCCTACAACAGGCAGGATCCGGTCTTCAAAAAGCAAAACGTTCGGATAGAGATCACCGCAAGGGAGTCCCTTGCTTGCATGAGAGTCGAGCCAGAAACTGCTGTGCACACCGAATAGGATACTAGTGTATATATATGAAACTATGTTTAATTGGGAACTAAGGAAGGGCCTGTACTCACTGTGGGAGAAGATGCGCAGAAAGCCAAAATATCACAACAACATAGCAGCTTGAACCCGTATTATTTAACACGATAGCACCGGGCAGGGCAAGCATCAGATGGCCTAAGTATGGGAACTTCACTGAGGACAACATTGATGATATCATTGCTCTTCGTATCGTCCTGGACTTTGACCAGAATCCTGGTGAAAGCAATGACGAGTATGCGGCGCGTGGTGCCCGATTGTGCAACCACGCGCTGGCCTTGGCACGACAGTTGCCAAACTGGTCTGGAAGCGTGGCCACAAGCTTTAAGTGAGTGTGGTGGACACACATTGCAAACCTGTTTGCCACCTTTAGTTTAATTAAGGGGAAGCCGATAAAGCATTGCCAATGCAGCTCAGGAGGGGAGATGCTGAAGAACTACATCGCCTTTCCGAAGCCAAATGGCACTCTGACGGCAGTTGTCCATGCACGTTGCAGCACTTGGCTGCAGGGCAAAGATTGCCGCTAGGTTACCAGTCCTTGCACGTCACCTTTGTTCATGACGATGCTCCAGTTCCTTTGGAGATCCAGATCCGCACAATGCGCATGCACGAAGTTGCAGAGACTGGGCCTCGGATCAACGCGCGTAAGACAGATAGAGCAGTGTTGATGGATTTCAGGTATGGAATGGCCGCTCATTGGATTTACAAGGATGAGCAACGGGGCAAGCCATATAAGTCTTGGAGCCCAGCGGTTGGCAATCAGAGAAAGATCTTCCAGTCTTCCATTCTTTGATGTGGTGCCTTGCTGCCATGCTAGCAAAGAGAAGTTACGCTGTGGTTGGTGTGGGAAGCGCTGCATACTTAGGCCCAAGAAACCAAGCCGTAGAGTTGCGTGGTTGGAATCGTTGGCAGACAAAGATGCTCGCCCGCACAGCAGCAACATGCAGCAACATATGGCAAGCAGATACCAGGATTTATCCGAAAATAGACTACTAGCGGCTCCTGCCCTTACCACCAGGAGCAAGAACGCTACTAGGGGCTCCTCATGGAGTCAGTCTCGTTCCCAGGACTGGGAAATGAGGGCCGACCCCCAAGCATTCGTTCAAGAGGCGTGGCATGGACTGCTCGGGAGTTCCAAGGATCATAAAAGATCTGCTAAACGTGCAGTATAAGCAGAGTTATCACATAAGAAAAGTACAACATACAAGGCAGGTGTTGCCAATTTCTTGCTTGAAAGTTTGGGAGGGTTACGGCGCAAGTGCTAGGCCTCTCAGTCGTGCTGCTACAGCCTACAATGTCCAGTAAGCACATTCCATCGCGTCTCCAAGGTTCTACGAGATGAATTGGGCAAAAGGCAGGGTCTCACTAGCAACCCCAGGTTTCTTTGGATTTCACCAGATGCGCCTTGAGAGGTGCTTTGTCTTTTTGAGAGACGGCACGATCTTGAACCTCTCCCGAATCCAAGCTGAACTTGAGCACAGGTGATTCTTTGTTGCTTCCCAGATTCTGGGGCTGCTGCTTTTTAATGTGTTTGTACGCATTCTGATGCTGAGGCGGCTGTACAGCTTTGGATGCGGCCTTCAAGATTCACTCAGAGGCTGCGTTTCGGTTGCGGCTTCAGTTTAACTATGTTACACTGTGCTTGTTGAACTTGTAAAGGTCGGGCTCCACATGCTGTATCCCGTGATCAATGATAAGAAGGCCTCATGACTCATGCTGCTTTCAGGAATCCTTTCACACATTCATAAAGCTGCCTTTTTTTATGTGGATAGGCTTTGCAAATCAGATTTGGTATTCATGCCGCTTTTGCCTAACACTCCAAGAAACAAATTAGACCGAGGTGGCGCCATTCTATGAATTGCAGAATGGTGACCGCCCTTCACCTGCATTGACACCAAAGACGCAACAAACTGGATTTGCAAACTTGAGTCTTTCTAGCTAATCCTTTGGGCAAAGAGCCGAGGAGTGAATATCGTTACTGATGAGGACGCAGTGCCACAGAGAGAGTGGCTTCTGAGTTGCAAGAACACACCAACTAGACTTGAGACCAATCCAAGTATATAATATGAAGCTGCGCACTGGCGGTTGCAGACAAGAGGCACTGTCCACGGTGGTACAATTGTGCATTTTGCATCAGGCTAGCCTATGCGTTTCTCCGAACTACCAGAAACAAGCTCTCGGCGTTCTTTAGAAAGACAACGAAGGATGCTTGGCAAAGCCTGGCGTTGTCAGCATGTTGGGCTTGACCGCTTGAAAAGTTCTGTCTGGGTTCAGGACAAAGAAACCGCAGTCGATTTTGCGGCAGCTTTGGCCACAGCAGCTACAGCTGCTGCTGCTTTGCCCTTGGTGCATTGACCCACTTGGGTATACTCTTCTTTGTTGCGTCTCACCGACTTCAAGTGTTCAGAGCATTTCAGAGCAGGACTAGTGCCTGCCGTGTTGGTTGAACGGCACTTTGGGTGTTCGCTCGATCGCCAGCAGAATTTATTAGTGTAGTTTTTAATTTGTACACAGTAGTCGTCAGCACGGATTCAAGTTTTCCATGCGAGATATGAGGATTCCTGAGGGTTTTTGCCACATCGGAAAAGAGCACAGGAAAAATTAGCTTTTGTTTGTCCAACTCACGGCACATACGGTTGGTTTAGCTGAATGAACACACAATAAATCGATATTCGGATATAGTATTAATAATACTAAGATTGTATGATTTAAAGAATGTCCAATAATGTAAAAACATTAGTTATCGATTATATAGTATTATCTAAATTCTTTTTGTTTGAAAAAAAACTGCTCATAATAATACGATAAGGCCTACCAACAGGTGCGCGCGCAATTCGGCAAAGCCAAAAAACAACGTGAGCCCGCGGACCCAAAAGCAAAAAGAAGCGCACAACCCAGGAAAAATAAACAAACACAAATTAGCAGGCCAAAACGAAGTATCAGCCCCCTCCAGGCTTCGCGGTAACTATGATATTTCAAGCATCGCGGTTCTGGTGCAACACAGCTCCACTCACCTCCCAACGGGCTTCCGCGAAGCATGGAGCAGCACTACCCCCACCCATGCTTCGTTCTACTTGTGCACTGACCCGGAGCAGCCTGCAATGATGCTGGTGGTGCAACCATGTGCTCGACGCAACAATCCTGCCGTTTCAGCCACGACTTGACCGTCTGTCGCGTGCATTGCGCACTTTTTGGACACCCAAGACCATCGTATAAGCCCCGCAGCTCCACTCACCTCCCAACGTGCTTCCGCGAAGCATGGAGCAGCACTACCCCCACCCATGCTTCGTTCTACTTGTGCACTGACCCGGAGCAGCCTGCAATGATGCTTGTGGTGCAACCATGTCCTCGTAACTAGCATATCACGCTCCCCTCCATCTTCCCTCCCAGCCCCGACCCCACGCGCCTCCCGTCCCACCCACGCGCCTTCCGTCGCGCTCCCCTCCACCCATGCACCTCCATCTTCCATCCCCAGCCCCGTCGCCTCCCGTCTCGCTCCCCTCCATCCTCCCTCCCCAGCGCCTGGCGTACTTCTAGGGCTCCGTCCGACTCTGCGCCGCACGGTCTCCGACGGATCAGTTCCGTCTTTCGTCGGGTTGGCTTTTGGATGTATCATATACCTGGAACCTGAGTGACCCCTGTTTTGGAGGGTCAACTATCCCAAATATGGCCTTTTCCTGTCAAAAAAGGTGTCAAACGGATTCTAGGTGTATATATATATATAATATATATATATATATCAACTGGTTGTTTTCAATCTGCAGCTAGTCTCCAATAACATTGCAACATGGCTTCTGACAACCGTTCCAGGAAGCCTGGAGCAGTATCGGCCCCCTCCAAGGTTCGTTCCAACCGTACAATTTCCCACGTTGCGCTTGTGGCACATAACGCTCCTCCCGTGTCGGCCATGCCTTGACTGTCTGGCGCATGTACTGTGCACATTTTGGACACCCAACCTCATCGTATCAGCCCCGCAGCACAGCTCCACTCACCACCCAACACACGTCCGCGAAGCATGGACCAGCTACCCCCACCCATGCTTCGTTCTACTTGTGCACTGACCCGGAGCGGCCTACCATGATGCTTGTGATGCGACCATGTGCTCAACGCAACATTGCCTGTCGCAGGCATTGTGCACATTTTGGACACCCAAGACCATACCTAAGCCCTGCAACACCGCTCCATTCACCTCCCAACGTCCCTCCGCGAAGCTGGACCAGCACTACCCTGCTTCGTTCTACTTGTGCACTGCCCCAGAGCAGCCTGCACTGATGCTTGTGGTGCGACCATGTGCTCAACGCAACCATGTCTGCCGCGTGCATTCTGCACATTTTGGACACCCAAGACCATATCTCAGCCCCGCAACGCCGCTCCATTCACCTCCCCGTCTCGCTGCCCTCCATTTTCCCTCGCCAGCTCCCGTCTCGCTCCCCTCCATCTTCCCTCCCCAGTCTCGTCCCCACCCACGTGCCTCGTTCCCACCCACGTGCCTCCCGTCTCGCTCCACTCCATCTTCCCTCCCCAGCCCCAGCCCCACCCATGTGCCTCCCGTCTCGCTCCCCTCCATCTTCCCTCCCCAGCCCCAGCCCCGCCCATGCGCCTGCGCTCTCGCTCCCCTCCATCTTAGCCCAATGATCATGGAAGATTATTAAAACTACCATCGCTTCAACACTCGATCCTTTGACCCTCACAATGAAGGACTGGGAAAGACCCTATGGGCTGTTGTTGAACAACGGATCATGCATGAGTGCCAGTGTCAATGGTGCAAACACTTGTACACGTTCGGCATGATGGGATGCATCAACTGCGGAGCATATCTCCACTTATCATCTGACCTCGGTAAAGCGGCACAGGTGATTCGAATTGAGGAAATTGCAACGAATCTCGGAATCGATGTGTCACTTGACATGGTGCCTGATGACGAGCTCAGAGGTTCCGGAGAAAGGCTCATGCCGACTCATGCCGGCGGGGACGCCTGGCCAAGAGATAGCTCGTGCTTCAAGATCGGGACTCACGATCCTGAAGAACAATGCCAGGAGTCACGTCAAGAAGGCAGAGCGAATGTCAGTCACTGTGATGCAGCGGCAGCTTATTGACCCATTCTACGCATTCAACTGCGCAGCGCAAGATCTTACGCCGCTGTGTTTGGGCTTCATTGACAAGCTTGCCAATGCTGTTGTACCTGATCCACCCAGAACACGCGAAATGATTATGAAGGGTGAAAGGACACAGGTACACCGGAAAGATTGTGTACATTGCAGACACCAACATCGTTGGTGAGTCCGACCTTTCCCAGGAGTTCTTCGTGTATTGGCGAAATCGTTTCCACCGCCCGGAAGTCTTTGCTACTTTGTATGCTGACAGCTTCAAGCGTCCACCCATCTGTGGCTTTGGCGGTGAATGGAAGTCCGATCACGAAGATCCCCAGGATATCCTCGATGACCTACTTGCTTTCATGGCAGAGGACTTTGAGCGCATTCCGGGCAATGCTCTGACCATCGGAAAAGAGCAAAGGGCCATGATCATCCCACAAACGAAGGCAGGATCCTCAGCAGCCAAGAGCTTTGCACATAGGCAATCTCAAGACAGTGCTCATCAATATGTTCTGATTGGAGCCGCGGCGGTTGGGGAGGCCATGACTGGTATCAGCATCGAAACTGGTGAGATGTCTTCGCACGGCGGGAGCCGTTGCCTTGGACAAAGCCGAAAAACATAACAAAATACCAAAGGCAGCAAAGCTCCGATTCTCTGTGGAGATACCTCATCGCACCGTGGGAGCGGTTGCCATATAGTGACCGTTCGTCCCGCACTTCAGCTGACCAGAGACAGAGGATGCACGAATTAATGATGATATCGGATAAAGTTCCTTTTCATCAACTGCTTGGCCATGTTTGTTCGCCACGCGGGAGCGTGAGCCACGTAGAGGTTCTACTTCTGCTTTCTCAAAGGCGAACATACACTTGGCTTTTCGCATAGCGCCTAAAATGGAGCTCTAGCTTTTGCATGTGAACTGAGACATTTGTCATGCCATGGGTCACAAGTGAAACTTAAGTACATTGTGCCTGACTCCATCGCCTCTGAGGTCGTGCTTCATCGGCTTTATCTTTTAGGTGCGCCCCGCTCGTTTGCTCGTGCCGGGGGACCGGTTGCCCTTCGTAGCCGGTTGAATTCATGCATATTGTATATACTTCACTCCTCCGTATTTGCGCTCAGCGGGGGGTGTGGTTTCACGCTTGTGTACCATATACATGTCTCACTATCTACTATTTTGGGCTCAAGGAAAACAGGCGTGACTTTGCGGTCTAAGTAGGCTAATTGCCTTGTCTTGCTGGGTGTGTTTGCTAATGTGGTGGTAACTAAGGGTGGAGACATGAAGCTAAAATCAAAGGCAGCCTAAATAATCTAAATCTGCTTCTAGGGTTGGCTCCCATCATTTTTATTTCACCCAAAGTGTGCCTCTTGTTTGTCTTGCTGGGTGTGTTTGCTAATGTGGCGGTAGCTAAGAAAAAACAGTCATTAAATCTTTAGCTTTGGAACTTTTGGGAAAACAGGCTCCAAGCAATTCATACAGGGGAGCTCTTTGTAGTGGTGCCGCGTGCCGCCGTTGATCGCACTGAGCTAACAGGACGACCAAGGGGTTCTCACTCCTTTTAAAAGGGCCTGTTTGCTCATCGTATAGGGTTTCTAGACAAGGTCGGATTTATACTGGGAAAAAACCAGGTGTCACGCCAAATTGACCCAGCTTAGATGTTCTTGGAAGCCCCGCTTAAGACTTTTAATCCCGAGGATCCCACACTGCTTGCAAGTTCTGTATTTTTCCCCACCTGCCAGGTGAGGGTTGTTAGATTTTATCACAGTTGTTCTTCCTCCGCCTCCGCCTCCGCCGCCTCCTCGTCCTCCTCCTTCCTCCTTCCTCCTTGCTTCCTTCCTCGCCAATCTTCATCGCCAATCTGCTTCGCCGATCTTGTCTGGCCAGCTCCGGATCGCAGCGTGCACCCCTGGACCTCAACCGCAAGGAACCCCTCGCAGTGTGCACCCCTGGACCTCAACCGCAAGGATCCGATCGCAGTGTGCATCCCTGGACCTCAACCGCAAGGGTCCGATCGCAGTGTGCACGCCTGGACCAACCGCAAGGATCCGATCGCAGTGTGCACCGCTGGACCTCAACCAGATAGTTTGCCAGATAAAATCCACCCACACACAATCACAAACACACGACCACAAACGCGCAACCACAAACACACAACCACAAACACAATCACAAACCCACAATCACAAACACAATCGCAAACACACAACTACAAGCACAACTACAAAGACACAATCGCAAACGCATAACCACAAACACAAAACCA